TATTGATCACGCTTGGTTGGACTACAGGTGTATGCTGCCGTAAACTACACATGATTTCCTGCATGGCTGTAAGACACAACAATCGATAAGGTCTGTCAGTTTCCTGGATTGTAGTTCAAGACACCGTGAAATGTAATAAGGCAGCGGTGTCACAATGCGTGGGCAGATGGAATTTATATAGTAAACATACACTTTTACTATTGTCCGCCCCCCCCCCCCCCCGGAAAATGTAGACCCCCCCCCCGAAAATAACAAGTGCCCCCCCCCCGGGAGAAAGAAGTCTGTACGAAACAATGGGCGTGGGAGGGGAGGTGTGCTGACTGCACCGGGTGACACCATAAAGAAGGGTGAGACCGTGGTAAATTGTAAAACTTTACTTACAAAATCAATATATCGTCAAGGTTAAGTTGGTTAAATCAATAATATAGAGCCAACTACATTATGACATGTACTTAAACATACCAATTATGTGTGTGGTGGTGTGTGTGTGGGGGGGGGGTCTGCTGTGAAGCCAACTACATTATGACATGTACTTAAACATACCAATTATGTGTGTGGTGGTGTTGTGTGTGTGTGTGTGGGGGGGGTCTGCTGTGGAGCAAACTACATTATGACATGTACTTAAACATACCAATTATGTGTGTTATGGTGGTGTGTGTGTGTGGGGGGGGGTCTGCTATGAAGCCAACTACATTATGACATGTACTTAAACATACCAATTATGTGTGTTATGGTGGTGTGTGTGTGTGGGGGGGGTCTGCTGTGAAGCCAACTACATTATGACATGTACTTAAACATACCAATTATGTGTGTTATGGTGGTGTGTGTGTGGGGGGGGGGGGGTCTGCTATGAAGCCAACTACATTATGACATGTACTTAAACATACCAATTATGTGTGTTATGGTGGTGTGTGTGTGGGGGGGGGGGGTCTGCTATGAAGCCCACTACATTATGACATGTACTTAAACATACCAATTATGTGTGTTATGGTGGTGTGTGTGTGGGGGGGGGGGGGTCTGCTGTGGAGCAAACTACATTATGACATGTACTTAAACATACCAATTATGTGTGTTGTGGTGGTGTGTGTGTGTGGGGGGGGGTCTGCATTGGAGCCAACTACATTATGACATGTGCTTAAAAACTATATGTGTGGTGGGGGGGGGGTCTGGTGTGTAGGACACATACCTGGAGTGTAGAAGACTTCTGATTGCGAGAGATCGGGTTGTAGAGCTCTTGGCTACTAACTCGAACGTTTCGAGTTCGGATCTTGGTCCGGACTTGAGTCTGCAGGGAAAGTAAAGACGGCTGGGCATAGTGCTTCATATGTCGAGGAAAAGAAACGTGAACTCTACTTCATATGTCATACGGATTGTTAGTTCTGAAAAAGGAACGTCACTTTTTTAAAATCATTCCAGTAGATAAGATATAATTAATTAGTATAAATTATTATTATTCGCTTTTACGCAATAGTACTTATACAAATATTTGATACTCGATTCTCACATTTCTAAAACGTGCTGCTCGATACCCATAATAACTATTTGATACTTAATACTTGCAGTAATAATATTTGATTCTTCATATCTGCAAAAAAAAAAAAATATTTGATACTTCCACTGATAATATTTTATACTCGATACCAACAGTTATTGTTCGATATACAATATCCGTAATAATAATATTTGACTTTCGATACCTTGAACAATGGTATGATATACTCGATACCCACAGTGACAATATGTGAAACGCCTGCAATGATAATAGTTATATTCGATACCCTCAGTAATGACAGATTACTACATTTTTAAACTCGATACCAAAAATGTTAACTTTTAACAATTGTTTTCTAGCTATGTACAGTAAATTAAATTAATCCTCCAGCCCTTGCGTGATGTTGCCATTTAAACTGTTGTCATTTTTTTTTACTCAAAACAAAACTAATTAAATGTTGCATGTAGTGTAGTTATACAAACGTGTTACGCAATCATTTGGCACATGCTGCTAAGCCTGGAAACATTCATCAGTGAAATAAATGTCTAGACATGAATTTTTAATAGATGGATAATGTTACACATTTCGGTGCCAGCCAAAACTAGGGGGTGGGGTTAGGGGGAGGTAGGGGTGGATTTATGAATGGTGGAGGGGTGGATTTATAGTGGAGGGGTGGATTTATCGAGGAAAGGGTGGATTTATAGTGGAGGGGGTGGACTTATGGTGGAGGGGGTGGATTTATGGTGGAGGGGTAGATTTATGGTGGAGGGGGTGAATTTATAGTGGGGGGGGGGGTGGATTTATGGTGGAGGGGGTGGACATGGTGGAGGGGGTGGACTTATGGTGGAGGGGTGGATATATGGTGGAGAGGTTAATATGTGGTGAGGTTGAGGTGGAACTCAGTGATATATAGAGGGTCCAACTATTGGGAAACCCCCAAGTTAGTAGAAAATGGTGTATGGTTATGTGATCTTTGTATAATAAGTAGAAGGTAGGTTTAATTTTAGCAATAGTAGATGGTAGGTTTAATTTTCAGCAATAGTAGAGGGTAGGTTTAATTTTAGCAATATTATATGGTAGGTTTAAGTGTAGAACCCATTTTACATTAGATGTTCAAGTATCACCAATGGACAAAAACTGTATCAAGAAGATCTACATGTACCACCCACCACATAGTCTCACCATTTGGGTTACCCTAAGTTTGTCCATGGTGTATATTATGTCTGTGTGGCCGTTCAACATATATCTGATACAGGAGGGTTTTTTTTAAATTAGCATTCACCGGTGGCTAATACGAATGAGCCGTCCACTTGCGTTAAGACATACTGGCCGTCCACTTTTGTCGATACAAACACTGGCTGCCGTCCAAATCGTGTGACGTCATGGACTTCTGCTCTCGGTAAATATTAATGGCACCCCGTGCTCCAACACCAGCCGGCCCCAACTTTTGGCTTCAACATCACACTGGGGACCCGGACATCAGACCAAGATCTCGTTAGAGGACACCCCCCCCTCTCTCTCTCTTCCCAGCGGCGGATTAAGATGGGGGCTGACCCGGCTACACCCCAGGGCCCTCGGATTTTTTGCCCCCTCCCTCAAGCTTATCAATATAAGTTAAGTTAATTTTTCTAATGTTCTATCTAAACAGTGTTCCGCGTAGTAATTTTTGACCTGGATAAAATATCAATTCTTTGAACAAAATAAAATTCAATTATTTTTCAGGTGTTACCATTTAAATATTGATTGCTCTTGATCCTTTATTAATAGCCGGTGTGGTCAGGTCTTGAAAATTAATTAATGGATTATATTTATACAAACTCCAGTGTAAAAAAATGGTTCCGACGGGTTATATATATATATATATATATACATATTTGAACAAAGTAGATTTGTTACTTCCATGTATGACAGTAACGAAAATAAAGGCAACCTAAATCATATTGAAAAATATATAATCTTAACCACTGCATCCATTTTTACCAAGAAAATATCAAAAACGAAAACAAAAGTTTCTGCTTTAAAATAACTCAGACTGACAGCAAACTTTTCCCCCATATTACATTCAACTATATTACACACAACACACGACACACAAAACATACACCCCCCTTCCATTCAATGTTTGAAGCCGATTATGTGTTGTTGCAGCTAGTGTTGCTGAAACCAATGTTCATTTCAACCCAAAAACTAGGCGAAAGGAAAATTACTTTAAAATTCTCATGTGACAAGAATTTCAAAAATCGAAAATTTTCGCTCGCCCACTCCTAGTTACGCCTCTACCTAAGAGATGACATAAACCAAATATATATATATATATATATATATATATATATATATATATATATATATATATATATATATATATATCGTATCGCCAATACCGATACTTCAAATCTCTAACCAAATTCTAGCACTAATTCCAACCTGTTAAGTGTCATTATCGCCGGTTCTTGAGGTACCAATACAGCCAATCGATGAGACACGAAACGAATTAGCCCTCTGGCTAGACCTCCTATGTAAATGTAGCCCTTTTATGTACTAGTAGCTGTGATATTTTTCTTGGCTTTATGTGTACACAATGTGAGCTAGATTTGTATACATACATCAGGCGTTGTATTGAGTTAGAGATCTTGTGTACAAAGTGTGTGTATTTTTCCACCCGTGCATAAGACGTACCAAATATTTTATTTTTACAAGATGTGTACCAAATATCATTTTTAAAGTTCCCTTTAAAACCTGATGGTCTATGGGGCAAGTAGATGGATAGTTTAGTCAGCACTATGCCCAGCCGTCTTTATTTTCCCTCACGTTAGTTAGGTACCTATCATAGCTGGGTGGACTCAGGGACGTTCTACTGACATGAACCCGGATTCGAACTTGGAGACTTTCGGTTTAGCACGTCACGCCGTCCCACTGCATCTATATGTGTACAAAATATAATGTTTACAGATGTATGCTATATCTCGTGTGCGGAGTTGTGTACCAGCTTTGGTGTACAAAATGTGTACTAGCTCCGGCATGAAAGTGACACCACAATGTCTGTACTCTCCCTCGAGTGTACACGACGTGTATGTTCCACATGCGTACACAGTGTGTACAGACCCTTGGTGTGTACGTACATAGTGTGTACAGACCCTTGATGTGTAAGTACAAAGTGTACAGACCCTTGATGTGTAAGTACAAAGTGTACAGACCCTTGATGTGTAAGTACAAAGTGTACAGACCCTTGATGTGTAAGTACAAAGTGTACAGACCCTTGATGTGTAAGTACAAAGTGTGTACAGACCCTTGATGTGTACACGCCCCACGAGAAGACCATGAACAAGATCTCCAGGAGCCCCAACAACACAGTAACCAGCTAACGACCCACAGGGACCAGCTAACGACCCACAGGGACCAGCTAACGACCCACCCCACAGGGACCAGCTAACGACCCACAGTAACCAGCTAACGACCCACAGGGACCAGCTAACGACCCACAGGGACCAGCTAACGACCCACCCCACAGGGACCAGCTAACGACCCACAGGGACCAGCTAACGACCCACAGGGACCAGCTAACGACCCACCCCACAGGGACCAGCTAACGACCCAAAGGGACCAGCTAACGACCCACAGGGACCAGCTAACGACCCACAGGGACCAGCTAACGACCCACAGGGACCAGCTAACGACCCACAGGGACCAGCTAACGACCCACATGGACCAGCTAACGACCCACAGGGACCAGCTAACGACCCACAGGGACCAGCTAACGACCCACAGGGACCAGCTAACGACACACATGGACCAGCTAACGACACACAGGGACCAGCTAACGACCCACAGGGACCAGCTAACGACCCACAGGGACCAGCTAACGACCCACAGGGACCAGCTAACGACCCACAGGGACCAGCTAACGACACACATGGACCAGCTAACGACACACAGGGACCAGCTAACGACACACAGGGACCAGCTAACGACCCACAGGGACCAGCTAACGACCCACAGGGACCAGCTAACGACCCACAGGGACCAGCTAACGACCCACAGGGACCAGCTAACGACCCACAGGGACCAGCTAACGACCCACAGGGACCAGCTAACGACACACATGGACCAGCTAACGACACACAGGGACCAGCTAACGACACACAGGGACCAGCTAACGACCCACATGGACCAGCTAACGACACACAGGGACCAGCTAACGACCCACAGGGACCAGCTAACGACACACAGGGACCTATCTTGTCTTCATGTCAGACAATTAGCACCAAAGCAAGTGCTAATTGCAATTTTTTTCTCCACGTTGGCGGCCCAAGGAAATGGCACCCCCCCCCTTGTCACTCTCATTTTTCAGACACGTGACACGTCCATGACATCAATGCCATGCTGTCAGCTGTCATTAAATAGGGCAGCTACCTCCAGCGAAGCTAACATTTGATAGGTAATGCTTACCTTACACGCATACACAACACACATGCACACACTCAAACAAACGAATACACACACAACACACATACACAACCATATATATATATATATGTGTGTGTGTGTGTGTGTGTGTGTGTGTGTGTGTGTGTGTGCGTGCGTGTGGGATGCGTGTGCGTGTGCGTGTGTGTGTGGTGGAGGACGATCTTGCTATGCTTGCATCTAATCAGTTTATTTGCTTATTTTTTTATAATTTATATAAGAAACTACCTCTTCTGTTCTATAGATTATATTTAGAAGTCTTCTTTGACTGTATGACTGTATAGTTCTTGAAGTATAACCACGACAGGTTTGTCCAGTTCAATTTGTAAAGAAATTAACTTTTAGGCTGGGACACGGTTGAAGTTTTTCCGAGCGTTCCAACTCATCCGTGTTATGTGACCTACTAGAAAAGTCTTGTGTAGATCCAGACCGGATTAACCAGTGGTGCATTAATTGGATCTGGGTAAACATAGATTAACAACGGAACCAGCGATGCATTAATTTTAACTGGCTGAAAATAGGAGCAAGTTTGTTTTGGTTTTTTTTATCTACAAACGGAGGTCACTGTTGTATCTGTGTATGAGTTTGAGTTGCATAATCAGTTTAAAAAACATAAACAGAAGATCCGACAAAATTAGTTGATTTGATATTTCTAAGGCTCAATGAATTCTGAAATGTATCATTTATTGCAATAATTAAGTTTTGTTACCTTTTCAGCTATTCCCAGCTGCTTAGTCAAGTCCAAGTACGTCAATGGACGCCATCCCCCCTCCCCCTTTTCCTTATCAATAAGATATCGTGTCGGCGCCCTTGAGTTTATTACTTTTACACACACACACAAATCAAGTAGTACAATTTAATGTATTAGTGGCTTCCTAGATATCTCCTTTATGAAAAAAAAACCTGTATCTAAATCTTAACTGTCAATATTTTACAGTTTTATCAGTACAAACAGATAATAACTTTCAGTATGTTGAAAACAAGCCAGTGACAATTTTTGGCATTCTCGCTATTGATTCAAGTGAATGAGTATTTTGTCCGATATAGTGGCAGAAGACTTGATCTCTATCACGTAGTTGATGTGATATTATTTCATAAAACAAGCATTGTAAACTCTTTACCCACTCCATTCCCTACACAACCCTATGTAACATTTCCAAACAACCCTTAGGGGCGTAGCAAGGTTTTGGGCGAAGGGGGGAGCGGCGGATGTAAAAATCGGCTAGTTTAAATTTATTTCAATGCATACAATTTAAGAAAAAGGCGCCGGTTTACAAAAAAAATGTTCTGAGGGGGAAGGGGGCGGTCACTCCCTTTGCTCCCCTGCTGCATACGCCCCTGATCCTCCTCTTGTATAATACTTAGAGTAACTCACACAAGAACTATAATACAATTTCTTACTACACTTAGTCTATAAATAATGCAGTAATGTAATTCACAAAATAAATTAGGGAATCGCATAAATTAGGAGAAGAAAAAAAACACCCCAGGCTACGCCACTGATATTCTATTCCAAGTGTATTGGAAAGGGGGGCTGGGGTGGAAAACAGGTGCTATTGACACCCTAGCCTACAATACAGTGGCTATATTTTATAATCCTTCAAATATATGTTCTTGACGATTGACAGTAAACAGACATAGTGGAAAAAAAAATTTCGCCTATTTCTAAAAAGTCATACACCTGACAAACTGGAAACCACAGTCCGGTTTGTCCATGAAGTTGGACTTGTTGTCTAATTCCTCCACCATATTCAAAAATTAAGAACGAAGAAGAAGAAGAAGCCAGTGTCAGTTTAAGTGCTGTGGTGGCTTGTGTCAGGTTTGTTTCTCTGCTACACAATCGTGTCAGTCACACGTGTGTCAGTGTTTTAACCTCACATCAGCATTTACATGTTTACGAAACAGCAAGCTCAGCTGAAGTGAAATAAAAATTAAAAAAAAAAAAACAGATCACGTGACATCAATACGCTTCAAGGATAGGCCACTCTCATGGTGCCATTCACAAGTCACTGCACGTGATCGACTTGAGTGATGGCGGCCTGCTGTGGTGGTTAAGGGAGGGCGGGGCAGTCTTGTAGACGCGCTCAGTTGGCCAAGGGTGACCGTAGATCATGATTTATATTAGGATAAAATAATAACAATCGCTTAATTAACCACCCCACCAATAACTCAACCACACCACCAGTAGCTTAACCACACAGCCACACCACCTGGTAGCTTAACCACACCACCAGTAGCTTAACCACACCACCAATAATTCAACCACAGAGCTAGTAATGCAACCACACCACCTTATAAAACAAGCACACAGCCACACCACCAGTAGCTCAACCACACCACCAATAACTCAAGCACATAGCCACACCACCAGTAGCTCAACCACACCACCAGTAACTCAACCACAAAACCAGTTAATCAACCATACAGCAATCAACCATACAGTCACAAATCTAAACCACACCACCAGTAACCCAAGTACACAGCCACACCACTAAAACTAGTACATCCACATCATCAGCTGTTTTACCACAAGACTAAATAGATTGCACTTTACACCTCTGTGAAAAATTCAAATTTGTGAGACCATCAATACACAGTTTTTAATTTTGTGCAATAGGCATTCTGTGTATTGATTCCACATCAAAGTTAAGCTCAATAATTATGAAACACTTATGAGTTTTCACAAAAGTGAACAAGTTCTCTATGAATGAAATCACCCATACATGGAGACCCCCACAATGGGGGATTCTATTGTTCCACAACTTTGATGTAAAGATTAATGAGGTGATCTTGAGATAATTAGATGGGTGATACAGGGGATAACATCAGCAACTGCTCTACGTAGGCAATCTACTTCTCTTCCATATCACAGGGCCCTCTACTTCAGGGCTTTCATTATTATTGTCACCAAGTAATAGTGTTGTTCAACTACCGGCAACCACACTGCTAATTATTGTGATGAATATTGTCCAATCCTAAAGCTAATTATTGTGATGAATATTGTCCAATCCTAAAGCTAATTATTGTGATGAATATTGTCCAATCCTAAAGCTAATTATTGTGATGAATATTGTCCAATCCTAAAGCTAATTATTGTGATGAATATTGTCCAATCCTAAAGCTAATTATTGTGATGAATATTGTCCAATCCTAAAGCTAATTATTGTGATGAATATTGTCCAATCCTAAAGCTAATTATTGTAATGAATATTGTCCAATCCTAAAGCTAATTATTGTGATGAATATTGTCCAATCCTAAAGCTAATTATTGTGATGAATATTGTCCAATCCTAAAGCTAATTATTGTGATGAATATTGTCCAATCCTAAAGCTAATTATTGTGATGAATATTGTCCAATCCTAAAGCTAATTATTGTGATGAATATTGTCCAATCCTAAAGCTAATTATTGTGATGAATATTGTCCAATCCTAAAGCTAATTATTGTGATGAATATTGTCCAATCCTAAAGCTAATTATTGTGATGAATATTGTCCAATCCTAAAGCTAATTATTGTGATGAATATTGTCCAATCCTAAAGCTAATTATTGTGATGAATATTGTCCAATCCTAAAGCTAATTATTGTGATGAATATTGTCCAATCCTAAAGCTAATTATTGTGATGAATATTGTCCAATCCTAAAGCTAATTATTGTGATGAATATTGTCCAATCCTAAAGCTAATTATTGTGATGAATATTGTCCAATCCTAAAGCTAATTATTGTGATGAATAACAGCCACAATTAATTATGTAGATGAATTACAGCCACAGCTTATTACTTAAGTGAATTATAGCCAGAGCTAATTATTGTGTTGGAATGGCGTGGTCTAATGGTAGAGCGTTTGGCTGCTAGCCGGAAGGCCTCTAGTTTGGATCTCCTCAGCTTAGACTTGTGACTGTAGGACATCCCTGACTCCACCCAGCTCTGATGGTATCTAACTTAGGCTGGGGAAAGTAAAGTCGGCTGAGCATAATGCTGACCACACCCTTTACGGGCCGAGGTCAAGATACATGTACTCTACTTCATCTGCCCAATGGATGGCAAAGTCAAATTTTTCTGTTAAATTTAAGCCACATTTAATCATCTGGTTTAATTACAACCACACAGCTAATTATTGTGCACAATTAAAGCCATGCAGATAATAATATTTTTGCTGAATCAGTTTCAAGTATCTGATGCGGTGATGTTGATGTGACAATTAACTTATCTTCACCAAGCAGCAGATCTTACATTATCCACTGGACATCTATTGATGTTGTAGGTATTACACATCCCACCCTGCACAGCCTTGCGTAAACTCTAATTATAAATGTATATCAGCCACTTGACAGGATTTGAATAGAAGCGTGTATGTGTACGCTACATACAGCTGTTTCACAACAAGGTTAATACAGGTGGCTGGATATTGTTGTAGTGTCAACATTAAACATATCAGCTCTACTTCCTCTGCCCAACTGACTTTCAGATGTATGCTGGCCAGTATGAATACAGTATATTGTTCAAAAGTCTATTATATACTTTTGAACAAACTTTTTGACCATCAATGTCAACACAGAGGAGATGACTTTGTCAGTGACAGTGCCTGAAGTTGGATGCTGTCATCAATTACAGCTTCCCATATCACATGGCTCATGTGCCATCATCAAATACTAGAGCACTCAAAAAGTTTTAACTTCTAACATTTCTTGAAATAGATATCCCCTCCCCCATGACCAGTATTTGGGTCGATTTAGTTAGTAATTTTGTTTTTTCAGGCCGTAGGGTAGGGGTGGGGGGTGTCATGTCACTTCTCTTGACTCATATTCTAGTGAACATGTAAATCTTGTGACTGACACTCACTGACAGTATATTTCTATGTACTTGTATGGTTAGTTCTAACCATATGTCAGGAAAATTTGTTTAACATTAAAAATTATAGACAGACATAATTTTTTAAAATATAAGTAAATTTTAAAAATTGTATGCTTTGTTTTGCTCATTGTATGTGATGTGTGAGTTATGGCCATTGTATGTGATGGGTGAGTTATGGCCATTGTATGGGATGGGTGAGTTATGGCCATTGTACATGACAGTTGAGTTATGGCCATTGTATGTGATGGGTGAGTTATGGCCATTGTATGGGATGGGTGAGTTATGGCCATTGTAATAATTGTATGTGATGGGTGAGTTATGGCCATTGTATGTGACAGTTGAGTTATGGCCATTGTATGGGATGGGTGAGTTATGGCCATTGTACATGACAGTTGAGTTATGGCCATTGTATGTGATGGGTGACTTGTTGCTGCTGTACAACAAAGTACTATCATGCCTAGAGTATAAAATTTCTTCTACTAGAAACATCATGATTCCCCTGTTTGTTATTTTAATATTTAAAACATGTGTTCCCATGAGAGTGCTAAACCACGACTTAACCAGCTGTGTGTCCCAGCCATACCACATTTTATTATCTTACATACACAGTCAAAGTGACACACAAACACCAGTCAATGGTACATAAAGACATAATTTATATGATAAAATATTTAAATAATGCGGGTATTAAAATTATTAGTGGACGTATTCTGCTGCGACTGACTGCCAGTGGAGTAGTTCATGCTCTGCTGCTGGTTGTTCCCTCCCCCCTGCATGGTGTGGACTCCATGCTGAAATCAACAAGAAACAAGTCTAAAGAAAGAAACATTTTGCATAACATCTTGCCAGATCAACTATTTCTTATACAAGTCTAAATAAAGAAACACATTGCATGACAACTTGCCAGATCAACTATTTCGTAAACAAGTCTAAATAAAGAAACATTTTTCATTACATCTTGCCAGGATCAACTATTTAGGATAGTGATACTGATCAATCTATTCTTGCCATAGATATAAAAGTTTAAATAAATAAAAAAACGTTTAAAATCATACCATAACCAGCTTTTATAAAATAGTGATACTGATTATTCTATAGCCGTAATATGTTAAATTTTAAACTTAAAAATAAACAACATAGCTTTAAAGAGCCAGGTTCAATTTTTTTTTTATAGTAATGCTGATTGTTCTATTTTTTCCATAAAATACAAAATTTAAAAAAAGTAACACAATTGCACAAATAATGCCAGCATCTGCTTTTTGAATAGAGAATTTTTTTTTTCAATCTTGACATGAAATACAAAATTTTGTTACATACACTGAGTTTTAGATGTCATGCAACAGGCTGATCACCTGAATTTTTTTTTGTTAAACTTGGCGCTTGTTTACAATGTGATAAATAACAAATGCCAAACGAATTATTTTTACTTCCATCCAAACAATAATTTTTAACAGTGTTTGAAGATTTTGTTTCTTTTTTGTTTTTTAAATTAATTCAGTAATTATTTTTAAATAAACAAAATTTAACAGTAATAGATCTAGTTCAAAACCAACTATAATTTGTTTTTAAAAAGTTATATTTTAAAATACCAGTTACTCAACAAACAAACAAAAAAGTTAATAAAAAAAATAAAAGCAACTGATTAGAAAATGTAGTAACACAATGTTAACCATTGGTCAAAAAAAAAAATTGACCGCTGAATAAATAACTACCCAAGTTTGAGAGGACAAAACACCAGACAATTGCTGATGATAGAGGGAGTTATGGCTGGAATAAATCTGGAAAAAATAATTCAGATAGAGGGAACGATGGAAAGGAATAAATCTGTGAAAAAATAATTCAGATAGAGGGAGCTATGGCTGAAATTAATCTGGAAAAAAGAATTCATATTGAGCAGTAGCGTAGCGGGGGTGAAGGGGGGGGGGGGCATATGTCCCCGGGCGCCGACCTTAGGGGGCGCCAAAATGGGTTGGAAAAATAAATTGAAAGGTTGAGGGGGGTGCAAATCGAAAGTTTGAGGGGGGGTGCAAATCGAAAGTTTGAGGGGGGGGGGGGGGTGCAAATTGAAATCTCGAGGGGGGGTGGGTGCAAATCGAAAAGTTTGTCCCTGGGCGCCGGGAAGGGTCGCTACGCCTCTGATATTGAGGGTACGATGGAAAGGAATAAATCTGTGAAAAAATCATTCAGATCAAGGGAACGGTGGCTGGAATAAAACTATGAAAAAAAAAAGATTTATATAAAAGGGGACTTATTGTCTTGTGCTGCTTAAGGAAAGTAACTAGTTAATCCAATCATCATTTTTGTCTAATTAATGAGCAACAAATATTGTGTGCTAGTCTCCAAGGTGGTCTGACAGTTTTTATATCTAACATGTTAATGCAGAAAAATAGTTCCTTGTGTATTATGACAATGTAATGTGTGTGTATTATAACTTTAATGTGTAAGTATTATAACAATGTAATGTGGCTGTTCCTAACATTTTCTAAAATGTACCATGACAATGTAATGTTTGTAACTTTCCATATAAAAAATATAAATTGTACAAAATCGGAGCATCAAAAGACAAAACACAGCATTTTTTTAAATGTACTAAGACAATATAATGTTTGTAACTTTCCATTAAAAAATATAAATTGTACGCCACTGAAGCATCAAAAGACAGCTGACCTGGTATTCCCCTGAGACCAGAGAGTTGTTGCTGCTGGTTGGTGCCATACGAGGACGTTTGGCTGGCGGCTGGTTGTGATCTGAACCTCCCCCACCTGCTGTCTGTTGCTGGAATGAGATCAACACAATTTTTGTTTAATAACACCAACAAAATTGCCTACACTTTTTTATGAATGTTCAGACTCTACTTCATTCAGTCCTTGACTTACAACCAACCCCACTATGAACATTAAATAAAACAAAAACAAAAGAAAAATCCTGATTTATATTTAAATTTGTAAAATTGGACCAACTATTGGAAAAACTATTTCTTTCATCATACACTCTTGTAAAATTTAATGATGTTTGCTTATAACTCTTCCCTGTTACAGTCACACGCACCTATAATTTATAAGTAGTAACAGAGGTCTAGCTGGTAACAAGATTTTGAAGATACGGAACTCAGAAAAATATTATTTTTTTTACATCTTTTCATTGTTTATTTTCTGCAACTATTTTAAAGTTTAAACATTGCCTCAATATGGAAGCTTCAATACAAATACTGAGAATAGAACTTAAAAAAAAAAACAACCTCTGATAATGAATTAGGCTTAGATTATTATGTAAAAATAATTGATATAAAAAAAGAAAGCAGATTGAGTGACAATGTTGAAATTTTTTTGCATTTAAAATAATTTTAACATTATTTTTATTTCCTTCTTGTAAATCATTGTACCATTTTGACACTTATGAGATGAATCAAGCCAATTTCAAGTATACTGCTATTTGCTTTTATTTTTAATACATGTGGATACATTTTAGTTGTTAAAAAAGTATCATGTGGTTCAAATAATGCTTTGTCATCATTGTTGGTCATATGTATGGGAAGTAAACACTTTAATAGCTAGGTAACAAAGGGTAAAAAGAGTGATAACTCTTACTAGTTTTATGTTTACTGCCTGTGACAGAAAGGATCACATAACTTAAATAAATTACTATAAAATGTAAAATATAGCACAATACTATGGCCATGATCACAATACAATTCAGAGTTCAAGTAGTAGCCTCCCCTATCTTACCTTGTTAGTGTCTGACTTATCTTCGTTGTCATCGTCTGATATAAACTCTCTTTTAGGATATGGAATGGGCATCCCTTCAAATACACTGTTCAATAATGACAAAATTAACACAAACAGAAGAATAAATAGCAAGATGCTAAAGATAAAAATAAACACCAGGAAATTTTGTGCTTCTAAAAACAGAACTCACTCTGCACACGGTGTTGGTTCCTCAGAGAAATAAGGATCTTTCATTGCCTGCTCTGATGAGATTCTTTTGGTGGGGTCCATGGTCAGCAACTTCTGGAGCTGGACACAAACATGTTCAATGTTGTTTAAGTCTTGTATTTAAAATGTTAAACAATGATGGGCCTAACTTCACACGG